GTGATTTCGTCTATGCTCATCACTGTCAAAAGTTCATCGCACGGTCACAATTATTTGGTAGTACTTCAATTATGATCTAAATTTGGAGCGTGTATACATCTTAGTGAGGCGCACCTAATAGAAATATAAAAACAAATAATTTATAAAATATAAATTGACCAAAATACCCCTATAAATTTTCGGGGGTATTTTGGTCAAGTTATATTTTACAAATTATTTTTTTTATATTTTTATTAGAATATACATTCCAAATTTTTATGAATATACATTCCAAATTTCAGATTATTTTGATTTATAGAAAAAAATAAAAATTAAAAAACTATCCGACGACTGTGACCGTGTGATGAAGTTTGGATGGTGACGAGAGTATGCGAAATCACTGTTCATTTTCACCTATAGGTGTTTTGTAGTACCTTCCTATATATATATATATACCCTATTTCTTGGATTGGTTACCCTCTCTCGCCATACACAAAAAGCTTGAACGTGGAAAACTTTGCCAAAGGATCAACAAGAGAGCATTTATGGCCCCGTGGGACGAAAAATGTATATCTGCTCCCTCGGATTAAACCTCAGGAATAATTTTAGGACTATAGAATTTCCAATAAAAGAATGTTAATGAGAGAGAGATCAACAAGACATATACGAGGTTCGACAATAGTGGCTACATCCGCGGTAGGTAAACCGATGTCTCCTTGATTGTGATTATTCTAGTTTACTAGATATATAGAGTTACAATTCTTGTCTTTTAAGAAACAAATCTCATTACAATTGCAATCCCATAAAATGTGAAACTCAATAAAGGAAATTGTAAAAAACTCAATATCTTGTAATCCACAAGATAGGAAGATTAATATTTTGCTGCTATAACCGTCAACACTCCCGCTCAAGTTGGTACATAGATATTCAAGGAGCCAAACTTGGACAATATCTAATGGAACTTTGTCTTTGCAATAGCTTTAGTAAATATGTCTGCAAATTGGTCTTCACTTGGAACATAAGGAGTACTAATATTTTTGTACTGAACGTTTTCTATCACAAAGTAACAATAAACTTCCATATTCTTGTATCTTTCTTGAAAAGCTAGATTGGAAGCTATATGTATAACAGCTTGATTATCACATAACATATCTATTGGATTGACATTTGGGAACACCATATCTTGAAGTAGTAATTGTAGCCATGTCAACTCACTCGTACTTGAATCCATAGCTTATATTCGGCTTTTACACTGGATCGAGCAACTACATTTTGTTTATTTGCTTTTTCAAGTAACTGAGTTTCATCCTACCAATGTACAATAGTCAGTAGTGGATCTCATGTTAATTGGACTTCAACCCACAAGTCTCTGAAAGCGACCCACATCTTCAAGAGGTTTTCTAAGCTTGCAATTAATCTCAACAGGGATGTCAGCGGGTTAGACTCCCAGTTTTCCAGTTTCTTTCAACATGTCTAAGACATATTTCCTTTGAGAAATGGAGAGTTCATTTTTTGAATGTGTCCCTTCAATGCTGAGAAATATTTTAGTTGACTAATGTCCTTGATGTCAAATTTCTTGTGAAGATAATTTTTAAGTTTCATGATTATTTCTTTATCACACTGTAATGATAGTATCTTCAACATAAATGAGTACAATTGTTGTACTTGATGTTCTCTTTTTTATGAACATCGAAGATTCAGCTAAACTTCTAAGAAATCTAATACTCATCGAAGCTGAGCTGAGTTTGACATACCATGTGCGAGGTGATTGTTTAAGTCCATACAAGGCCCTCTTTATATATCATACAAGATCTTTCTCATTTTCTTAAGAATGGCCTAGAGGGAAGACTCATATAGGCTTCTTTTTCAAGGTCACCTTGTAAGATGACATTTTTAACATCCATCTGATGCAGAGACCACCAATAATTAAACTGTGATACACAAAAGAGTACGAACAATATATATCTTGGCAACTAATGCAAAAGTCTCTTTATAGTCGACTTCATAGGTTTGAGTAAATCCTTTAGCCACCAACTTGGCCTAATGCTTCTCAACATACCCATTACTATTATATTTGATTTTGAAAACATATCTACATCTAACTGTTTTCTTCCCTTTAAGTAACTTGACAATGTCCTAGATATGGTTCTTGTCAAGTGTCTGAAGTTCATCTTTCATGACCTTCCTCCACACAGGTTGAGAAATAGTATTTTGAAAATTGGTTGGCTCAGAATTATTAAAAATAGAATTGAAAAACCAAAATAGCCAGGAGAGATATTTTCATAGATAATATGATTTTGAATGAGATAATAAAATGCATGGTAAATATAAAAGTCTTGAAATGTAAAGGTTGGGAGATATGAGAAGACCGGCACAATAGGGGATCAGGTGGGGCCACGACGAAATATTCTTCTTTTAAACTGGTTTGGTGAGTTTCAGATGTATCTCCAACTTCAGCTTGATCATCATAACTTCTTGCGAGTGTGTTGGACACATCACTAATACTAATATTAGATAAGGGAAAACGACTTCTTGAACTCGCCCCCTGAATCATATTTTCCAAACCACTCCAATGTGTCATGAAAATAAGACTATGTTTTAACAAATTGAACATCTCGAGAAATATATAATTTTTGGTTATGAGATCACAACATTTGTATCCCTTTTGAGTAAAAGAATATCCAGGAAGGATACATCTCCTAGAATATTTATCAAGGTTATCCCAGTTGTATTCAGCCACATGAACATAAGACATGCATCCAAATACACGCAAATGAGATAAATCAATTTTTCTATTTTTCAAAACCTCAAGGAGAGATTTATCTTTAATAATTTTACTCGAAAATCTGTTAACCAGGTAGCAAGTAGTTAAAACAGCTTCAAACCAATAAATTTTTGGAACATGCAATTGAAACATCAAAAACCTTGTAGCTTCCAAAAGGTGTATATTTTTCCTTTCAACAACTCCATTCTACTGAAGTGTTCCAATACACGATGTTTGGTATATAATACCACGATTACATAAATGCTCAGAAAAAACTTTCTTCCCATACTTTGCCCCATTATCAGTTTGCATAATTTTAATCTTGCCATTATATTAGGTGGAAATCAGTTTGGAAGGTAGAGTTGGCGTACTCTATATTGATTATCAAGTCATCAGACTTTAAGTCCACTCTAGGCTTTCGGGCTTTGGATTCCAACATTCACAATAGAGGAAGTGTCTAGGTTATATATATACCAACGAGCAAAGCCTTCGAATGGAGTCGTTTAGCCTAGTGAGACCAACTGCAAAGCAAGAGCCTTTTTTTTAGAGGAAACCTAAAGAAACTGCTTGCTTACAAGATTTTCTATACCTATGATGCTCCTCCGAATAAAAAATGGTACATTTTTCAGTGCTAATTCCTAACAAATCTTTGCGGACCTCGAATGTTATTGTCAGTCAAATTGGCTCTGGTGCCTATTGTTCTACTACTCCAAATGGCTGGCTTTAGCACAGATATGAAATGCTCAGTGAGGAATGCACATGGTTCAATTCTTTTGACGAAATCAGGGAAGGAAGGCTCATCATGAGTTATGGATTATTACTGGACCTGGCTACCTGCTGAATCAATATGGGAACAGCCATATGGAATATTCAAATAGGTCAAGCTACTAAGATGTTGCCCTGGCCTTCAAAGGATAGAAAAGGACTGGAGTTGCATTGTGCTTCCCCGACTCCCGACCACGTAATCTAGTACATGTGCTCCTCAAACGGCAACTCATAGACCAGGCGTAACGCATGTGTACCTAGCTTAGCCTGCCTTTAGACATAAGTTGCCCCATACCTTGGATGAGCTAAAAGAAGGTAGGTTTGTTTCACTGAAAGATAATGAGAAATTACAGGGCTGAGGTTCAAATCATTACCTGAAGCAGCACCATGCATCGGGTTGATGTTTCCATGTGTATGATAGTTTGATTGTGCAGTTCGCTGTACAAATCAACAAGTATTACAACGGTTCAGTCGGCACTCAATTTGGGTTTCGGCTCTTATTCCCACTGCCCATTTCAGACAAAGATTATTATCGGCTGATCTACCTAATGTCGGAGCTCCATCTGCAATTCATGTATAGGCCATATCTTCAGTGGGGAGTCTACCCCAAATACGTCTTTAACTCTCTTTTTTCATAAGAAGGATGTCTTTACCTTAAATACAAACTAAAGAAAGAGATTAAATAAAATAAAATAAAACCTTAATAAATATGCCCTCTCTCCCTAACATCTACGTTTTCTCACCCTTACCCCCACGTTATTTTCTCTCTTTTCCCATCACTTGAAGCCCATAAATATAGGAAGCCCCCACCCATCTCAACGCACTTCCTAATCTCGTTGTATTTTTCTTTCTTAATGCTTATCAACCTATTAAGAGATAACAACCTCAACCCCCACAAAAATAGAAATTATCCAACATAAAAATTTAAAATAAATATCCTAACTAACTCCCTTAGATAATTGTTTATTCTACCCCTTAAATCTTTACAACACAAAAAAATAAAAATAACCCTAAACGTAAAAATAAAAATAGTAAAAAACAACAACAACTCATTGCATCATGCTCCTGGGTTTGGAGAAGCTTGACCTCAAGTTTATGGAATTCGAAAAAAAAATTTCATTATCTTCTCTACTTTGTTCTAACTGAACAAATTTAACCTTTTCTTCTCTAACTTTTTATTATTGATTCTAAACGAACATAGTCGTAATATGCTTGAAAAATAAATTGTGATGCCAAAATCTCTTGCACCTTCTACCACTTGTATTTCGTGCCTCTAAAAATCAACTGAACTTCCGAAACGAGCTGTAATGTGTGATTAATGCTTGGATCGGTGGTTGATTCTTGATCTTCTACTTCTTCATATTCTTGTTCTTCTTGTTGTAACTTATTAAACTGATCGTGTAGATTTTGTTGTATTGCTTGTCAATATATTCTACTTTCAAATTTTTTATCCAATTACTCAAATATTTTATCTATGTGCTCCATAACTAGATCAAAAATTGTTTGTGCTTAGCTCGAATTTCAAGGCTTTGATACCAACTGATGCAGGAAAAAATAATAAATTAAAAAAATATAAATAAATATAAAATAGTGAGAGATTATGCCCTCTCTTTAGGTCTGCAAGGTAGTCTATCCCAAAGATTCTTTATAAGATAAAAAAAACTCTTTCTTTACTCAAGTCTAACAATGATGCATTTCTCTTAAATACAAACTAAATAAAGAGAAGAAAATAAAATAAAATCCTAAAAATGTTCTATCTCTTTCTCTCTCCATTTTCTCTTCCTAACCCCATGATATTTTTTCTCTCCCTCTTTTCCCATCATTAAAAGCCCATAAATTAAGGAAGCCTCCGTACATCTCTTCGCACTTCCTAGTCTCTTCTTAATGTTCATTTTTTAATGCTTATGAACCCATTAAGAAATAACAACTTCGACTCTTACAAAAATAGAAACTATGTTCTATATAAAATAAATATTCTAATTAACTCCTATAGCCTAAATCTCTACAACACAAAAAGACAAAAATAACCCTAACCTAAAAAGTAACAATAGCAATTAAAAAACTCATTGCATCAA